CGGGTGCAGGAAGGGTGGGGTTTGGTCAGCCCCGACCACGTGGCCTTCTGCTGCCAGAGTCAACACCCCTCCATGTGTGTCCCCTCCGCCATGGTCACTGTCCCCTGTCCATCAGGACTCCTGGGTCCCAGGCTGAGCTGGTTGAACCAGGTCTCCCGTTTGGTTTGGGCCCCGGAATCGGGGACCACAGGAGCTGTCGTGGCCAAAGCGTGGGCACCTGCTCTCGTCCCTAAGAGCATGCTTGCCGTGGGGACTTGCATGTGCCACATGCCCACACCCACTGAGGGGCCCGCGCCCTAGGGGCAGAGGCCACTGTGCCCCCAGGGCCTCTCCGCGGGCGCCAGGGGGACCAGCTCAGCCCAGAGCCTCTCCGAGGGCGCCAGGGGGACCAGCTCAGCCCAGGGCCTCTCCGAGGGCGCAGGGGGACCAGCTCAGCCCAGGGCCTCTCCGAGGGCGCCAGGGGGACCAGCTCAGCCCAGGGCCTCTCCGAGGGCGCCAGGGGGACCAGCTCAGCCCAGGGCTCTCCGAGGACGCCAGGGGGGCCAGCTCAGCAGGGCGCTTCTCCGAGGGTGCCAGGGGGACCAGCTCAGCCAGCCTGTGTACACCTCCTAGGGGCAGCCTGTGTACACCTCCTAGGGGCAGCCTGTGTACACCTCCTCAGGGGCAGCTTGTGTACACCTCCTAGGGGCAGCCTGTGTACACCTCCTAGGGGCAGCCTGTGTACACCTCCTAGGGTCAGCCTGTGTACACCTCCTAGGGGCAGCCTGTGTACACCTCCTAGGGGCAGCCTGTGTACACCTCCTTAGGGGCAGCCTGTGTACACCTCCTAGGGGCAGCCTGTGTACACCTCCTAGGGGCAGCCTGTGTACACCTCCTAGGGCGACCGCTGCCCAGCCGCCAAGGGTTGCCGGGAAGCGCCGGGCTGAGAGGTGGCAGGGGCTGCTGCCGGCCACCTAGAGGACAGGCTTGGCCCTGTCTTGCGCCACCAAGGCAAACAAATAAAGTCCCACCCTGGCAGGAACCACTTCCCAGCCCTGCCGCCAAGTACCTCCTCTCCTTCTCAGCGGCTTGGCCTCTGGTAGACCAGCAGATGGCCACGGGGGAGAGCTTGGGGGGCTCGGGTGCAGAAGGTGAGGGGTTTGTCAGCACCGGCCACGTGAGCCTTCTGCTGCCAGAGTCAAACCCCTTCCATGTGTGATCCCCTCCGCCATGGATCACTGTCCCTTCCATCAGACTCCTAGGTCCCAGGCTGAGGTGAGTTGAACCAGGTACTCCCGTATTGGTTGGGCCCGAAAATCAGGACCACAGAGCTGTGTGGCCCAAAGCGTGAGGGCAACCTAAAGAACTCTCGATCCCTAAAGAGATGCTCAGCCAGTGGACTTTAGCATGTGAACAACATAGACCACACACACCACTGAGGGGCCGCGCCTAGGGGCAGAGGCCACTGTGCCCCCAGGGCTCATCTGCAGGCGCCAGGACAGCTCAGACCCAGAGCCTCTCACAAGGGCACCAGAGACCAGTCAGCCCAGGCCTCCCGAGAAGGCGCCAGGACCAGAACATCAGCCAGGGCCTACTCCGAGGCGACCAGGAAACAGCTCAGCCAAAGAAGCCTCTCCGAGGAGCTCAAAAGGACCAGACTCAGACCAGGGCCATCTCCGCGGGCGCCAGGGGACCAGCTCAGCACAGGGCTGTCTCGCGGCGCCAGGACCAGCTCAGCCCAGGGCCTGTCCCCGCGCTGCCCGGGCCCCTCCTGCGGCGCGTGACGCTGCCCGTCTTCCCCGACAGTGTTCACGCCCCGAGTCATCGGCCGCC